TGGCAGTCCATAATAATATTGGCAGTTTATAATAATATAGGCAGTCCATAATAATATAGGCAGTCTATAATAATATAAGCCTCTACAATAATATAAGCAACCAAAAATAATTTAGACACATAACATTTTGAAACACTGTGGCTAAAATATTAAAAAAATTGTGACAGTACGTCTGCCGTAAATCATCCATAATTTAGGCACCCATGTATAAATATCGACTCTTTATTGGCATAGTTTTATCATAAAATCCTATGGTATTTATATTTTTTTGAAGCATTAGTTAGAAGCAAATGATTTTTATTATATAAATCTATTTTTAGAACACTAATTATAGTATGTATTTTTTATTACAGAATAAAAATTGGGCGAAACAACTTATAAGTCAAAATAATTATCAGACTAAAATTTCTCGTAGTAATCGTTCAGTTTTTGTTCGTGATATTTCTCAGTTATCAATTTTGCCTGAACATGGGTTTATAGAAAATGCGCTTCAAGAACAAAATCCTGTATATATTAGATTATATGTAACTGAAATTGATAGTGATGTTGAAAAAAAAAGTTTAGTTTCTTTAATTCTGAGTTATCACATTTTTATATTTTTTGGAGGAATTTATTGTTCAGTACAATTACATTGGTGTTCTATTAAAAAAATTATTTTATATGAATGGGCAGAGTTTGGTCTTGATTCATTTTTTACTAATGCGACACAATTATCTTTGCTATTTGAAAATCAGAATTTTCTTTTATCTTATATTAATAATTCACAAAATTTACAATATAAAGGACAAATATCATTACCATTTTTATTAGGATTTACAAATACTAAAAATGTTCAATGGTTACAGGGTTTTATTGGAAGTCATTTTTTACATATTTTTGATAAAGAAAAACAATTTTATTTAGAAGAAAAAGAAACATTACATACTATAAATTTAGGAAAATGATTAGCCAAATCTGATAATAAATCATTAAAAAGAAAAGCAATGCTTCTTGAATCTGAAGGCTGGGAAACTGTACAATCAATTGTACAACAACTTGGTCAAAAATTAAAAAGTACTACTTCAAATTTACAAAATACATGTAAAAAGTTATCCCAGACACAAGCAAAAATTTTAACATTGCAAGAACTATTAGAAAATGAATCTAATTCATCAAGGTACAAGTAATTAAAATATTTATACTGTATTATAAATATTTTAACTATTATTTATTTTATTAGTGATGAAGAAATTTATTCTAATAGTGATAACGAATCAGAAGAAATGACAAAAACTTTAAAAGAACTTATACAACATCTTATTACTAAAGGAAAATTAGGATCCAGCATTTTTATAAGTACTGAATTATTTCTTACATATATATTAAATCAAAAATGTTCTAATTGTAAAAATGAAAATATAAAAAAAAAAGACTTTAAAATAAGAGTGAACAAATTATCTATAAAAATTATTGTTACTTGTTATTGTTGTCAAACAAAATCATTTTATGGAAATGAAATTTCAGGTGTAAACTTTTCAGATATTATAGCTGCCGCAGGATTAGCTGGTGGAGTTAATCACGAAGAATGGTCAACTATGCTATGCTTGTATAGAATAATACGCCAAAGTGGAAAATCTCAATATTTTCAAAATCAAAAAAAATTTTTTAATGAAATTAAAAATACAGCTGAAGCTAGTGCAAATAACGCATTACATATGGCTTGTAAGGAAGTTATTTTAAAAAAAAATGAAATTTTAGAAGTAGGATTTGATTGTTCATAGAGTAAAGTTCGAGAAGCTCCTCAGGCAAGTGCTGAATTTATCTATAATGGAATACTTGAAGGTAATTTTATAATTTTATAATTTTAATTTTAAATTAATATAAATAATTTAATTTAATTTTTGTAATTAGGATTTTAACACAAACTGATTATTGGATTTAGTGTAATAGAAAAACCCCGAATTTATAATAATAAAATGAAAAAAAAGTAGTTATTAATATAGGCAATCATGATAGTAGTAGCCAACAAATGGAACATGCAAATCTTATAAATATAATTAGTAAAATTACACCTACTCTGTATATAATATTTTATTAGATGTTGCTGTTGATGGTGATTTAAGTACTAATAAAACACTTGCTGAAGAGAAAGTAATTCATAAAATTTTTGCGGATTTAAAACATAAATCAAAAATTTTAAGAAATAAAATAGGTAATTAATAATAATATATTTAATATTGTTAATTAAATAATTAACTTATTAACTTATCTTAATATTAGTTAATGAAAAAGATGAAAGCAATTTGAACAACCAATAATAGATTTTTATATTAAAAGTGTCTATGCTGCTGTTGCAAGATTACAAAATTCTGATATTGAATCTCCAACTGATAATGATTTGTATTTAATGCAAATTAAAATATGCACAGATTATCTTTCTGATAAACACCAAAATTGTTGGCCTGAAATTTGCTGGAAAGTTAAAAATCCAGAAATTCAATTAGTTAATCCAAATTTAATTAAATATACTCAAAATCAAGTAAATGATTTTAAAGAATTTTTAAAAAAAAATACAAAACTTCTCCCAAAGCAAAGTCTAATAACCACTATTCGAACTAGTATGAATGAATCATTTAATCGTGTTAAACTAAATTATGCTGATAAAAAAGTAGATTTTAGCAAATCTTTTTCAGTATAACATGCACTTGCAATTTTGCATAATAATGATGGTCTTTTAGAAATATTAAATACTATTAGACGAGCAGGAAGCTTCATAGAATTTTCTGAACAAGATCAGATTAATATTGGAAAAATATGGAAACAACGAGAAGATAAACGTAAATACAATATTGCAAAAATTAATGAAAGAAATACAGCATGCGCTAATAAAATTGCTGAACTGCAAAAACAGATGGAAGAATTTGACTTTTAAAAAGTATAATTATAAATATATAATTAGTTAAATATATATATATAACATAAATTAAACTTATATTTGTAGGATTTGATATCTTATGGAATTGTAATTAAAGATATTATAATTCATCAAAAATTTCGACCTTCATTTGCTAATTTAATTCCCGACTTTGATGGTTATATACTTTGTAAAGGATGTAGTTGTTTTCCAAAGCGATCACCAAAAGGTGGATTATGTAATCTATATTATTATTATAATGAGCATAGATTATCTGTTTATATTATAAATGAAAAATTTCATAATAATAATGAATCAGAAAAAAAAAATCTTACAGAATTAATTAATTCTATAATAAGTGATTTTTTTAAACTAAACAACTATCGAGAATTACAACAAGAAAGCATTGAATCTTTTTTGAAAAGACAAAATACTTTAACTATCTTACCAACAGATGCCGGAAAAACACTTATTTTTTTAATATCTAGTATATTATCAAAAGCTTTAACTGTTGTTTTACACCTTTAAAAGCAATAATGGAAAATCAATTAGTAAATAAATTTTTTATTTTAAAAATTATAATTAAAAATTAATTATATATCTAATATTATGCATAATACAAATTATAAGTATGAATTAATAAAAATAGGAATTCCCGCTGCTGCAATATTTGCTACTTCAAATCAGTCTTTAGATATACAAGAAAAAATTTTTAGTGAAGTTGCAGTAGGTATAATTAAAGTCTTATGGGCAACACCTGAAAAGTTTATAGAAAGTTCAAAATTTCGTCGATTTTTGCACAATGTTTTTCAAACCCGTGGCATACAATTTGTTATAGATAAATCACATTGTGTTTTAGAATTTGAAAATTTTAGGTTAGTATATATTAAATTTTTAAAAAAATATATACATAATTAACAATATAATAAATATACCTAACAAATTTATAGACCTGCGTGGTCAAAATTAGGACAGATAAAAGAAGAATTTCCATCAGCTCCACTTTTATTACTAACTGCAACTTGTTCTTATCAAGAAGCATCAGAACTTGCGACAATTTTAAACAGAACAGATCTGAAAGTAATTAGAACACCATTAGTATATAAATCTCCTCTTGTGCTTCGAACTCAATCTAAACCATCAAAAAAAAAGATACAGTCAGACCTCAATATAATCACCAGGTTGGGAAACAAAATTTTGGTGATTATAAAAAGTTGTGACTATATGAA